TATAGTTTTGATTACATGATTTTATGAAGTAGGTGCCTACGCGAAGATAGCTCTTCCAAATTTTAAAACAATTTTTGAGTAGTGGTGTAATATTGAAGTAATCCTAAATTCATCCCCTAACAGCTCCTTTGTCGTTGACTTACAAATTCTGGGATTGGATTTGTGAATTATTTTTCCAATTACTCATAAAATTATGGCACTATGAAAAACATGTTTTAAAAAAGTGTAAGGGCGAACTTCATGGACGTAATTTTACTGTCAAGTCGAAACATTGAAACAACATAATAACTTACATAAATAAACTTGTATTGCGATGTTTTTATACACAATATTATCATATTGATATTATATTATATATATTAAATAGGTATATTAATTAATCAATGACATGATTCTTATTAAACTTTTAAATTTTAATTCAAGGCCACCTATACATAGATTGATCTATCGGGAGCTCGATGTTGGCATGACTTTAATTTAATGCACTCCCACACAGCTCACCCATTCCCCTCCAATAAAAATGTGCAGCCACTACCAGCATTTTCACTTGGAGCCAAGAAAAATATGTCCAACTGCAATAAAAGTTATGTCATTAATTAGCGAGGAATTCGCGTGACTTGCATGAAATTTCCTATCTCGAAATTTGCACGTCACTCCTTCCTCCTTGAAAAAAAATTCACCTGCATACACGTATAGACTTTATAGCTAAGTACGTAGGTATGTTCTACCTATTATTTTTATTTTATCATCTCGTTCTCTTAAATATCACTGATATAATACAACCGAAACATATTTTAGCTGTAAACTGATGAATTTTCGAATATATTTTCTCACAGCCGCTGCAATACTTTTCACGTAATCTATATACTAGGTACATATATTATTAATGTTACGGGAAAAATCGAAATAGAGCAAACTTAATTGCGACCAACATTATTAGGGTAAAACCGTAGCACCGTTTCACAGTAGGCTGCACAATGCTTTTTTTTTAATATTGTAATTAATGATAAAATAGTATTATACTATAGTATAAAAGTGTTGATTTTTAAAATTAAAAATTAAATCAGAGAGAGAGAAAACAAATGGTGCGCTGCTGACATCCTCTGAAGAAACATATAGGTGAATGTTTTGGCTATGTCTTACAAATATACAACATAGCAAAAACTGTTTTGCGAGAGACAACTGTATTCCTAAATCTGCTACCAAAATTCCACAACGCATAGGAAAGAATCTGTGCCTCAGAAATTTGTTATTTGAAGAACATAAATACAATTAAAGTTATCAGTTTGACTAGTTTGAAAACATTAGGTTATCATCGTTTAATCATTAAAAATTATTGGTCAATACCATCAAAAAAATTAAAACGCTACGACACAGATAAAGTTCTTCCCTATGCGTTGTGGAATTTTGGAAATATCCTATGAATAATATACTGAGGTATAGTATACCCTATAGCTGTACCGCTCAAAACAGTTTTTGCTAGGTTTTTCGTTTGCAGCAAGGCGGAGACAACACACGCTGACGTAGAGTCCTCCTAAATAGCTGTTGAAAACTGGTCGCATTTAGACCAATAACCGAAAGAAAAATGCACCCAGTACCAAAAGTCCGATTTTAATTTTGAAAGCATATCTGAATTTATTATTAATTTACTACAGATATGCTACTTTTTTGGTACCTTTTATGGGACGAAACCTAATGTCCTACTATTTAAAGAAATATATATAATTCAGTGTCGAGTATGCCACGGTTAAAAATGATTATGACTACCTATAGTGTGCCGTGAGGGGAAAAGGTTCTGAAATGCTGGTCTAAATGCACGAAAAAACGAAAAAAAAAATTACCCGCTTTTAGCAGCCTTAATAACATTTTATAATAATGGTTCCACGTTATCGTCGCAAAATTTACGATGACGACGATCTCGATGGGATGTAATGTTAATAATATTATATTATAATTTATATCATACTTATACTCGCTCGGTAATATATAACTGTACACACGGGCGGGCTCGCGTAAATTACACAAAACAGCGATAGACCTAGAAAAAAAAATTGAAAATAATACATGTTTTCGAAATTAAAATTGGACTTTTATAGTACTGGGTGAATTTTTCTTCCGCTTTTTGGTCCAAATTCACGAAAAAACGACCAGCTTTTAAGAGTCTTATAATAGCGTTATAATTATGGTTCCATATTAACGTAGCAAAAACTACGACTACGACGATCTCGATGGGATGTAATGGTAATAATATAATATTATTATAATTTATATCATACTTATGCTCATGCGTTAATATATAACTGTACACATGGGCGGGCGGGTGCGCGTAAATTACACTAAACAGCGATAGATCTAGAAAAACAAATAACTCAAATAAGGAATTCAAAATAATATATGTTTTCGAAATTAAAATTGGACTTTTATAGTACTGGGTGAATTTTTCTTCCACTTATTGGTCTAAATTCACGAAAAAACGACCAGCTTTTAAGAGTCTTATAATATCGTTATAATAATGATTTCATATTATCGTAGCAAAAACTACGACTACGACGATCTCGATGGGATGTAATGCTAATAATATAATATTATTATAATTTATATCGTACTTATGCTCGCGCGCGTTAATATATAACTGTACACACGGGCGGGTGCGCGTAAATTACACTTAACAGCGATAGACCTATGAAAAAATTCAAAATAATAGGTACATGTTTTCGAAATTGGACATTTATAGTACTGAGTGAATTTTTCTTCCGCTTATTGGTCTAAATTCCCGAAAAAAACGACCAGCTTTTAACAGTCTTATAACAGCATTATAATAATGGTTCCATGTTATCGTAGCAAAAACTATGACTACGACGATCTCGATGGGATGTAATGGTAATAATATAATATTATTATAATTTATATCGTACTTATGCTCGCGCGCGGTTAATATATAACTGTACACACGGGCGGGCGCGCGTAAATTACACTTAACAGCGGTAGACCGTCGTTTCGATTATTTTCCGTGGCGCGCGGGTTGGGCGCGCGAAAACGAAAGACCGGGGGGTGGAGGCGGGGGGGGGGGACACTCGCGGTTTAACGGTGAATTATTGTTGTTTATCGGGCGAGCGCGCGCGCGACAGCGAGGCCCGACGGAAACGTACGCGATAATAATAAAAGCAAATTACAATGTTATTATTACTATTATATAGGTAGGTGCCTCTATATTGTACTGACGTGCAGGCGACGGCGTTCATTCATCCGAGGGGATGTGCTCGCGCGATAGATTCCCGCGGCGCGCTCCGACTAATCGAAGAACCCGCGCCGCCGTCGATATCATAATAATATATAATATTTAAAATATATAAGTCGTATAGGTAGGTAGACACTGTAGAGGTACGTAGGATGGTATATCGGTATGTATAGGCATACCGGTATAGGTACCATGCACGCGGTCGCGAAAACAATAATATTGCGTTATATTATTATTATTATTTTGCGCTCTCCAGTCGCGGCGGCGGCGGCGTACACCGGCGCGGTGCGCCCCCGTGGCGGAGGTTTCACTCGGCGTGACGCCGGCGACCGAGTTGTGTTATACTTATGCTCACGCATAATAATAATAATATCGTAGAAATCGACGACGACGTTTCGGGATCAACGAGAAATATTATTATAATACAACAATATAATAATAATAATAATAAAATAATATAATGCACACCTCTGCGCCGCGCCGCTGATTTGTACAGTATACCGACGACGACGATGATTTGGGTCATAAATTATGTAGTGTATATATCTATGCCGAAAATATAATAATATTATTGTTTCGACGATTACTTTTTTTGTAGCATAGTATAACATTTATAAATTAATTTCTTAATAAATTCAATTTTTTCTTAGTTATACTTTTAATATTATTAGGGCAGACCACGTCCATTTCGGTAGACCGTATATTGGGAGATAGCCCATATTATTTAACTTTGTCAATAATAATATTATAATAGTTAAAACTAGATAGTCCAATACCTTAATTTAATTAGGTTTTTGAAACGGTTTGTTGTAATGTATGGTTACAGTTAGAATTACATCTCAAAATAAAATCATAAAACAATTGAATATAATTAGGTAGGTAGGTACTTAAAACATACTAGTTTTGTCACATCGATTATTATCGTCATCTGTTTTTTAAAAGTAACAAAACAAAAAACCTGTCACAAAAATGATTGTGTTGCAGTAGTATATTATATTTAGCCCTTTACATCAAGCTTAAGTTTTTCACAGCAAAATCACCATATTTGACAGGTAATCTTCAAAAATCTTTGAATTGATATAAAAATAAAAATGCCGTCAATTAAACATTATAATAGGTATCTAATATTATATGTTATTATAATTAATATAATTAATATATTATGTCGTATTATAATATATGTGATGTCTTATTATTATGGCAATTTATAGTAATTTTAATAACGTGTCATAACAAAATGTAACACATAGTAAAAAAACTATATGGAAAAAATAAAATACATATATTGTGTACCTACCTATTATATGTATATATTGAAATATATATTTTTCGGTTAACGTTTTTCTTAAAAGAATGATTAATTATCATTTACTATTATATAGTCCGAAGATTATAATATTATATTTAATTAAAATAATTCGTTTTTCTATATACTGCTATAACAAAAATAAATAGATATAAATGTATAACATTTTTTTTTTCATTATCATATCATATTACAAAACTAAACAGACAAATGTACCGAACCTTGTACCACATGTCAGACATAACCGCCGCGTAAGGAATGCCGGACGAAAAACCTCCGACGGTATGGGTCGTAAGTGTCGACACTGTGTACCACTTTAGACGTAACTGGCCTATTATGGTAAGTTAATTTTGACATTAACGACCACTACCGGCGGAGGTGTTTTGTCCGGCATTCTTCATCACGTGGAGGCAGCTTCCGGCACTTGGTGGTAAGGTCCAGTAGCAGTGACTTCCGATGGGCCGGACACGGAAGCATAGTGCGTTGGGCAGTTACCTTCAGATAGCCGGTGTGAAGTGGACGGTATCTGGTTACCTTCAGATAGACGATGTGCGGTGGACGGTATCCGTTTACCTTCGAAACCTCGGTGTACGATGGCGGCCGATTACCCGCGAACCGACGGATGAGGATATTCGGATAAATGTGAACATGTCTCAGATCGGTGGTGGCGGTGACGACTTAACTTTTGGTTCGGCGGCCATACTATACTCCTCCGTTCCTCCCAACTGCGATTCTGGTTTCGACTTCTTCCGTGGGTCCGGGGGAACGCGACTCAAAACAATATTATGTATTTATTTCGTAATTATATCAATTTTATGTTACCGCGTATTTTCGGAGCCGATGGACGGGCTCCGACCTCTTCGTTTTGACTTGAGTAAAATTTTTGAGTGAAGATGTATTCGTTTGCAGCAATATCATGTATTTATTTCATAATTATGTCAATTTTATGTTATTGCATATTTTCGGAGTCGATGGGCGGGCATAATATTATGAAATAAATACATAAAATTGTTGCAAACGAATATGATCTTCACTCAAAAATTTGACTCAAGTCAAAACGAACAGATCGGATGGTCGGAAAATAACGTTTAATAATGTTTACTATAGTATTTACAATACTTTACTAACAAAAAATGCACTTGGAAGAACGTTGACAACCGTTGTCGACGTAAATGCGTTTAACCACATTATTTTAATTTCTGTTTATATAATATAGCCATTATTCGTGGCAATAATATTGTTATCAAATTATTAAAAGGTTTGAAAATGTTTTTTTTTAACACTACACAAAACCCGATTTTTTCCAGGAGAAAATCAACAATATCACACAATTCAGTACTCCATGGTGTATTTCGTATTGAGCGTACATACACTGTGTACCTCAGTTCATATGCAAGTCTCTGTGCCTCGCTTTGTGCCCAATTAATCCAATTGAGATGAGCAATCCGCCCGCGCTATTGGAATGTTTCGGTTTGATCACATCAACTTTGCGAGAGTAAATCGGTTTAGATTCTAAACTCGAGAATAATAAACGAACAGAATGCAATTTTTTAAAAAGAGACCTGTACTGGAGGCCTCCGACAAAGAAGTTAAGACTATAACCGTTGTTACCGGATATTTGTTTATTTCTGTTTATTTCTTGTTTACATGACGTGCGAGGAACAAAAAGTATTACTTCGTGTTACAAGTCCGGCATTAATTTTATTGTGTGGACCACCCTATATAAATAGGGGTTCAATTTCGAAATAAAAAAAAGCAATACACAGTTTAAAGAACAAATTAAGTTACATTTACATGTGTTTAGATTTTATCAAGACCTTGGAACTTTAATGCTCAAAGGATGTATTAAATATGCATTCAGTTATGCATTAAGGAAACCAAATAATATGGACTCATAAGCAAACGATATTGGTTGCTTAATATTTACTCTTAATAATTAGTAATGAAAATATTGTAAATTGTGTTATTTTTTAAACAAAATTTTTTACTCCAATATTAAAAAGCCGTCAAGTAGGTAACCACTCAGATAGACAGTTATAAGTGTATAGAGTGTCCCTTGATAGAGTACGAATTCGCTTGATTTCAACAATTTCTACTTTTTAATTTACGTCTTAAGTGGGTGTTAATAGGTACGTATATTTTTTAAAATTTTGTTTTTACTATCATAAAATAATATGACAAAAGTCATGCTTTCCGACCAAGTATTGAGGCAATTACCTATCATTGTAAATTTTACATAATAAATCGTGAACATTTTTGTATAAATATACTACCTAGGTAAGTGATAATAGGTAAGTGCTAACCTAGATTGCGTGTCGAAAAAAAACTATTTTCGGTAGATCACGCGTATTGGACTACTAGCATAATATAGTACCATCGTATTATCATATTCATATGTATATACACACGTAGTCATGTATTCAGATCAAAAGTAGATTAAAAACTAAATATAGCTGATGATGACGATAATAGTAATAATAATATAACTATGATACTTGTTGAGCTCTTTCGCACAGGAGGTAGCTATAGGTATAATAATATTACGAAGGTATAGGCTATGCGTGAAATAATTGTCGTCACGATTGTTAAACTATTATAATTATCTCAAAAATATCCGAAACCCTCCATTATATGTAGAGGTACAAGTCGTATTGAAAAATCCAAATGCTGCTGCAGAAACCGCGTTCGAAAAACTCCCACGCGTGTCCGCGATTGTTGTGCGCTTGCACCGAGTACCTATATAATAATAATAATAATAATAATATATATTATGATATCGGTGTTATCGGTCGGGTCCGTCTAAATTAAAACCGTCGTCGTCGCCCCGAAGCGGGGAAATATTATTATATATTATACGATGCGAAATCGGATAATACCCGAGCGTTTTAATTACGTCGAAATTATCATGTCGTGAACCGGATGGTTATGCGCGTGTATAATATTAATAATAATAATAATAATAATAATAATAATATGTGCATGTGCATAATATAGAAACGGAGACTATTGGGATCGAATTGCGATGTCTGCGGACCCGTCTGCAGCCGCGTGTGTCCTACTGTTTTGCTTAACACACGTTTTTCGTGTTCCTCGACCACGCGCTCGGTACATGGTAACTATAATGTTTGAGTGTGTGTGTATGTGTGTGTGAGTGTCTGTTCAATGTTTCCCAGAAGTCGTTTGATTTTTTTATTTTACGTTTTATATATTTTTATCCCTAGACGATAACATCTAAATCATATAATTAAAACCGTTCATCGATCGATACGAACAAAAAAAAAAAAAAAATACATAAAATTTTTTTCTTACTTTTAGTACATTCATTACTATATAGCGCTCGGCGTTATGTGTTATAAATTCGTATTTTTTTTTTTTTTTTTATGATCGTCTAGTAGTGAATAAAAATATGGTTTACTTCGTTTCGTATACGGATGATAATCACAAACGTCAGAACAAAACAAACGCATAACTTCCTGTATGCATTTACAGTGATAATAATATTATAAACGAAAAGTAAATACTGCGTTATAAGCAGGGAACTAAATAAAATATCGTTTTGATATATTATATTATGTTATACGGGTAAAGTACGAAAATCGATTAATGTGAATACAACCCATGTCTACTGGATAAAGTAAAAATATTATTTGTAAAACGTTTATTTTGTACGTTGGCCGGGTAATTATTGTACATTATCTATGAGAGTGGGGCAGATTTGAATGAAATTCACATTTTAATTTTTTTAATTTTTATTTTTTTAACAAATTTTGAACTTGATAATTACAATCTGTAGTCTAGATGTTTGTGAATACTATATTTGACTCATAACAACCTCATATATTAAATAACTAATTTAATTTCTAATTATGAAGCCAACAATATTTTTATTCAAATGTGCCCCTCTATGTGGTATATTTGAAATTTCAATGTGTCTTATACAACTAAAGGGGCACATTTGAATTTTGAACATAAATAAATAGGTACTAAATTAAATAAAACATTTACTTTATTTCATCATAGAAATAGCACAACATAATACAGTTAATAACAATAGGAACATTATAGTAATTATAAGCTTTATAAATTTAACATTAGTTGTTCATAAAACTAGATAATGTAGGAACATTGTTGAAACTACTGGTAATTATTACTATATAAGTTTTAGTTACACTTAAAATACTTAACAACATTTTTTAAAACTTAACAATGGATAAAATAGGTATACCTCTACCTATATTTAAACAAAATCATAAAAACTTATAAAAACAAATGGATAAGGTTTTACCTCAACCCATATTATAATTTTCAAATGAAACTTTAGGGAAAACCAAGACTCCTTCACTCCGTTTTGTGTTACCTGAAACTTTTGGCTTTGGTAATAATAACTCAATATCTGAGTGCGGTATCTGGTCTATATCGTCTTCATCAGGGTAAACAAATGTGCCACCTGTTTTTTTTTTTCAAAAATGATACCACATAGTTTTGATGATCAAAATCTTCTACACATCCAACAAAAAAGGTTGTACTTTTCACTGTATCATATTTAACCAATACAAAGTCGCCATAGGTTATTCTATCCAAATCAGTCTTTGAATTGTCATCACTGTCATCACTAGGTTTTTCTGATACTTTATCAAATAATTTTTTTTACAGTTAGGTTTAGTTGGTTTAGACAATTTTTTGTCATGAACCCAGTGAACCAGTCAATTCCAGATATAAGAAATGAGTTCCAGGAAGGAAGGATTTCTATATTACTGCACAATCTCCTTCCATCGGTCAAGGTTTTACAAAACTCCCGTGTAAGAGTAAATGTTTATCAAATAAATGTTAATGTAAATCTGGTACCTAGGATATTTGCAACTCCAAATGTCACCCGACATAGAACACTGCAGTTCCAATAAATAACTGTACCTGTTTAATATTTCAAATGTTTTTATGTATAAAATAATAACTTAATAATTCCTAATTTACTTAATAATTTTTTTTCGGATTAATAAGATTTGGTTATTTTTTTATTTCATACTTTATCCACAGCACACTGGATAATATGGATATATGACTGTTCATATGGGTAAGGTGTATAGTTATACATTAACAGGGTATAATGTATACACTACCCATTTTCGTACTCTACCTGTAAGTCGTAACATATAATATGTATATACAGAGTGATTCAAAATTTATGTTACAATAATATACTATTACTTTACCTATTGTTGTAACATACATTTTGAATCATCCAGTATATATATAATACATATTTTAATTTATTCTATTATACTTTTGTGGTATACCTACCTATAGTTGACGTAAACATTTTTGTTGGATCCGTCTTCGTTCGTTGCAGTATACACCTACTGAACTGGGCACGTTGGAAAATAAATTGCAGTTTATTATATTATTATTATTATTATGACTTAATTGTAGGTAGGGTATACGATCGTACACATCAATATCACTGTTTACTGCACCACGGACGAGCGAAAAAAACTGTTACCATAATAAAACGTGCTCTTGCACTTACATTTATTCAATTGATATGAACTATTATATACCTCCATTACGTGGTTCTATACATTTAAGAGGTACCTTTAATAACAATAATAATAATAATAATAATAATGATAATATTCTAAAGCCTGCAAAGGTGTGTAAAGTTATACAGGGGTATAGCTTTATTATTTTATTGATGTGGCGTATAACATAAAGGTATAACGTTTAGTCGGCTTTTTGGGTGGTCTGAATAAGTATATCGATCAAAGGTGTTAGATGGATTGCAATTGAGTATAGCCCGTAAGTACTCGGAGATTTTTTCGTCACCATGCTGCAGGGCTCTGCGGATAACATCTCTTATATTACAACACAATTCGATTCGATATAATTCGAAAATT